CCTTTCCTCAGCACAGGGTTGTGTGTGACCCTGTTTTCTGGTGTTCCCGACTGACAGCGGAGTGGTTGCAGACGCACAGTCCCTGTTTTAGTGCAAGGCCCTTGGCTAGAACTGTGCACTTCTCAGTATTTCTGGATGAATCTGTGAAGGACTGGGATTCTTGGTAGCAGTTTTAAGCTAAACAGAAAGAAGATAGGTTTAGATTTATAAGGAGGAAATTCTTTACAATGAGGGTGGTAAGACACTGGCAGAGGTTGCCCAGAGAAATTATGGATGCCCCATCCCTGGAAGTGTTCAGGTTTGGGTTGGAAGGGGCTTTGAGCAACCTGATGAAGATGTCCCTGCCCATGGCAGAGGGTTTGGGCTAGATGACCTTTAAAGGTCTCTTCCAACCCAAACCATCCTATGATTCTGTTGACACAAAAAATGGTTTGTAGCATGCTGGTATTCCTGCACACACATAGGTGAAGCCTAATAGGGTAGAAAGAAGCTGATCCACCATAGGTGCTTTTCAACTGTAGTTTTATGAATAATGCCAGCTGGAATAAACTGGTGCTAAAATTGGCAATACCAGCTCTTTTTTTTGCCCCAGGTCCTTGCTTTGTTGCTCTTCCCTTGTGCTGGTGAAAATTTTTTTTTTTATTGAACTGGATTGGGCAAGTGGTCTGGCTTAATACTGATCTTATTATGGCCAGGTTGTTGGAGTGTGCAGTCCGGTCTGAGGTGGGATCGTCACTACATACTGCTTCTGGTATGGTGTGAAGTGGTCAAAACAGCTGCCACAGCCGCTGCTGCTCCAATACAAGCCTGTGGGTATGGTTTTATTTCCTATTGAAGGATGCAAGACTCATCTCCTTATTTAACAGATCCCAGAACAGCCTTGAGAATGTTTTTTTTTATTCAGGGGTTTTGTGTGTTTCATTAAGGAGGTAACAGACCAAGAAAAACATTTGCCATTATACATTAAACATTGTGCATCAGGTATAACATATATGACATGTTTTGGGGATTACTGGAATACAGAAGATAAGCACAACAGCTTCAGGCATGTTATTGTGTGAAATACCTTTTAAACACCTGTTGCTTTAGCCATAAGAATATGAGGATGCCCAAATGATCAGACCCTAGTTTTAGACTCTTGTTTCCTGCATTAGTTATTGCCTTGGGTGGAACACCCTGCAGAGTACGTTTAGGTAAACACTTGCCTGACATTGTGAGACTGGAGCAAAAGCTGAAGTTTCATTACGTTTGTGACTTCAAAATCTTCCATAGTTCTTGTATGCAGTTGTCCTCTCCCTGTTGTTACACAAGCCTGTGTAATGCCTTGTCTGTGTTACTAGTCATGTTGTAATTTTAAGAATGCTTTATTTTTGGTAGTGCTTAATTCTTGAAATTTGTTCAGTCTAGACAACGGAAATAGATGGGTTCACATTGGTTTGTCTGGTATAAAATCCCCAAAGCACTTGTGCAGTTTGAAGTCATTGGAACTACTTGGACACTTACAGTTAAGCAAAAGACAAAACTGATGGGAAAAGAGGCGGTTTGGTTGTTTAATCAGCACTGTTTGCACTTGTTCTCTGCAGTATTATTATAAGATGAGCTGGAAGCTCTCACACAGATAGTTTTGCTTTTAAGGGCAGCTTTGTCTCAACTCTGAGCAACTAAGGGAGTTGTATTTTGGATGCTTGGTGCCTTGGTACTGACTTAACATTTCCCTTAAAAAGAAATTAAAATTTACTCCTTATTGAAAAACTCAAGACACTAACCTGACATGCATGTGGTCATTTCTACTGTTTTGCAGCTACAAAAAACTGCTGTGTTACTGCTCTAATTCTTTTAGTCAAACTGGACAAGAATGCTTCTAGATTTTTTTTCTTAATGTGTGGTTTTGTTTTGTTTTTTTCATGGGGACTGTGTAGCAGTCTTGGTTTTGAGGTGCAAGGAGAAACATCCAAAATTGTCAGGGCATTAATTTTTATTTTTGTCTGACATGAATATGTAATATTTCACCTGAATCTATTGGCTGCAACATCATTGTTTTAGCAGTCCAATCGCCTACAGCATTTAAACAACTAGTGAACAAATTTTGGTTGGAACGTTCCTACAGGTGATACAGCAACAAAAATTGGTACTAAAAATCATCAGAACAGCCTTGAGTGTGTTGTTATAAACAATTGCATTACTGGTCTCTTCTGTTGCAGTAAGAAGTGTTTTGAAGGGACCTCACTAATAAGATTATCTACTTTGCTAAAACATCTTTCATCTTCAGAGGGCTTTGCTGCTTTCCATATTCTAAGCTCCCCAGAGATGCAGGTAGATCTTACTTATCCCTGCTGTATTCAGGAGAAGAGTTGATGTCTCTGCCAAAGGATTTGTTCCTCTTTTCTTTGAAGTCAATAGAAAAACTGACACTGACTTTTTTATTATTTTTTATTTTTCTTGGCCCTAAAGAAATACTTCCTTTGATTTCAATAAGCAGTTGAAGTAGGCCTGAAGTAGTATGTCCAGCTCAGCTCTAGAAGAAGAGCATGACTATGCAGAGTCTATGCCAAGAAATAACAAACCTCTTTTTCTTTTACTCTAGGGCTGGGTCCGCTCTGTCCGATCCCAGAAGGAAGTTTTGTTCCTGCATATAAATGATGGGAGTTCTCTGGAAAACCTCCAGGTGGTTGCTGATCCTAGCCTGGAAAATAGGTTGGTCAATTGGAGATACCTGGAGAAATATCTGTATTGATCAATGCTTGGAGGGGTCTGCCCGGGCCTCCTTTCCCAGTGGCTCACCAAACTGCTGGAGGAGCCTCCAGCAGCTGGTGCCTGACCACAGGAAAGACACTGCTGTAGTCTGGGGTTTCTGGATGTGTTTTTAGGATGGAGAGTGTCTGACTACCCTGTCTCTGCTTAGCTGAGGCCTTGTGGTTCAGTTGCTTGTCCTGTGAGATTAAGTTGGACCTAATTTTCTTAATAGCTATAGCAGCATGGGCATTCTGGGCTACTGTTGGACTTGCTTGGAAATCACACAAGGTGGCCAGGGATAACTGTCCCCTGGGTTTTTGGAGAGCGCTCTTGCTCTTCCTATAACAACTTGAGGGCTGGCTCAGGAGGTGTACACCCTAGATAGGCGTGCCTGTTCTATTATAATAAAATAATGTGCTTGTTTTACAGCTTCATTTTATTTGTTAGTCTTGATTGTTCTTTGGGCTAGGTTTGGGCGTTTCAGGATGATCCAGGAACCCCCTGCACGTAACTTTTTTTTTTTTTTTTTCCTATAAGGCTGGTTTGTCCATGCCAATAGCCCCTTCTAATGAAAGCCTGTCTCTTTTCAACTCATCCAACATTCCTGTCTTGTCCTAAATTCTTCTATAGCTTTGTGGATCTATTCACATTCCCAATAATGCACTTAATTTTTCATTTTATCAATTAAGCCCTATGGCTACAGTATCTTCTGTGATCTCTGAAACCAGGACAAGCAGTCCAGCTAAATTAACAGAAATCTCTTCCGAATGTAGTTGACTTTGGATCAGTGCCTAGTTAAGCTGTTGTTTTTTCTTGGTTTCTTAGAGACCTCACTTTTGGAAGCGCAGTGGAAGTGCAAGGAAAACTGGTCAAAAGTCCTCATAGGATGCAAAACATGGAGCTGAAAGCTGAAACCATCCGTGTGGTGGGACCTTGTGATGCTTGGGTATGTCACTGCAACAGGAGTCCAACTGGTAGGACTGCTTTGGAAATTAATTTCAAAAGGTCCAAGTATCCAGCAAAGCATGCTTCAAACTGAATGTTCTTTAAGTCTGAGTGGTCCTGCAGACTTTGATTTGTCAAAGGAGAAACGTGGGATCACCATGGATGCTCTCTTCAGGGGCAGAGCTGTTTCTACATGGAAACTGGTGCACATGCTGGCAACCAGGAACGTGCATTTGTCCCACCCTGAAGCAGTTACTTATGCCAGGTGGATTACCTGGTTAAATTTGGCTGGGGTATGAATTGGAGAAGCAGTGGGACTGGCAAAACACTCCAGATCGTGCAGAACCGTAGCTGCCCTAGGCACATTTGGAACCAGCTCACTGTTGCAGCAGTGAGATGAATAGCTGGCTTTCAAGGGGGCTCAACATCTGAAAGGTGGAGCATTTCAGAGCGCTATTATCTTCTCTCGTGTTCATGGCTCTTGCTCTACCGTCAGCATTATAAAATCCACAAAATAGCTAGAAAAGGTAGGCAAAATCATCTAGTTCTCCGCTCTGTAATGACAACTGAGTTTTAGTAGGCAGGGATGGTAGTCCACAAATAGCAATAAAACTATATTGACTCCAAGTTCTCATCCTCTTCTTTTTATTTCCTTGTTTTTAGTCATTCCCCCTGAAAATGAAGAGGAGGCACCCACTGGAGTATGTCCGACAATTCCCTCACCTCCGATGCAGAAACAACACGATCGGCTCCCTCTTGAGAATCCGCAGTGAAGCCACTGCAGCCATCCACTCATTCTTTCAGGTAGTCCCTTTTGTACTGAGCCTTGTGTGTAAAACACTGCCCCGGTTTGGCTTCACAGGAGCACGTTAGGAGGGAGGGAGCATGATGCATTGACTGCAGGGTGTGGATTTTGGACGCGGTGGTTTTCTTTCCCAGCCTGAGCCAACTGAGGCCTTGGCCAGGCTGTTGCTTATGATCAGGCTAGCACATCTGTGGTCTTGTTAGCATCTTTCCACCCATTTCCTGTTAGTTGTTTTAGCCCTTTCACTAAGTTGCAGTATAATTGCCTGCGAGTGCGTGTGGTCTGTGGAACACAACGTAATATGGAGTTGTCTAACCCACGCTCAGTAGTGACCTTACGGTCCTTGGACAGAAGCCTCCTCCCACATGGAAAAGTCCATGTTGCAGGAAGGCTACCGGCAAAGCTGAGTCAGAGCTTCATGTTATTCTTCTCAGTTCTTACCTTTCTATTACCGCATTACAAGTCTGTGTGGATGCTGTTAGCTGAGATTAGGAGACTCCTGTTTTGATGCATTTCAAACTGATGGATGGGAGGCACCTGCATCTTATGAATGTGTCACCTTTAAGCTGTGGATGGGCTTTGTGCAGGTGGCGGGGGCAGTAAATTAACCCTGATCCCAGATGCCATATAAAGACTGTGCAATTCTTTGTGTGAGTAGATGAGGAAAGGTAGCAAGTTCTCTAGCCCACCTGAGTCCTTTCTTTTAAAGCGGTTCATTGAAATAAACGTGTTGTAGTTTAGATAAACTGGCTTTAGAGTAGAATTATATTCAGACCATTTTGATTACAAAGTTCATATGTAGTAATTAGTATGGCCCAAAGAACAGATCAGAGGAGGGACACAAAAATCATCAGAGGGCTGGAACGCCTCTGCTATGAGGACAGACTGTGAAAGTTGGGGTTGCTCAGCCTGGAAATGAGAAGGCTCCAGGGACACCTTCTTACAGCCTGCTAGGGCTTAAAGGAGGCTGATAAGAAACATGGGGACAGACTTTTTAGCAGGGCCTGTAGCGACAGGACAAGGCGTAATGGTTTAAACTAAAAGAGGATAGATTCTGATTAGATCTAAGGCAGAAATTTTTGACAATGAGGGTGTTGAAACCCTGGCCCGGGTTGCCCGGAGAGGTGGTAGATGCCCCATCCCTGGAACCATTCCAGGTCAAGTTGGGACGGGGCTCTGAGCAACCTGCTCTAGTTGAAGATGTCCTGCTCATGGCAGGGGGCTTGGACTAGATGGCCTTGAAAGGTCCCTTCTACCTCAAACCGTTCTATAATCCTAAAGCTGCTGGTAGTGTCAGCATTGTGCCAGCTTGTGAGACAGAACCCAACTGCCACTAGATGGCATGGCCTGCAACCATTTGTGATTTCAAACTTGCACAAGGAAGCCGGCTGAGATACAAAAAGGCATTTTTTTCTGACAAAGGCTTTACTCCTCCAAATTAACTTCAACTCAGACTCTGCCATATCTTCCTGACCAAAATGCTCAAGAGCTGAGCAGTATTAACAAATATAAAGTATCATTAATTTAGTAGCAGCAGCTACACTAAAGTTATTTTTAAAGGAATAAGGAAGATTTGGTCCCAGACCTGATATTTGTGAATGCTTGTGTCATGACTCTCCTAACACCAGGAACATCTGTGATTTGTTCCAATTCTGATGGAAGAAAAACAGTCTTTTTAAATTGCCACCTACATCATCCCAAGAGTTTCCAACTTGACAATATCAGAACATACGATAACTAGAAAGTATAATCAGAGCATTTTCACTGTGCAAAGCTGTAAAGACTTTAATGGTGAAAGAAAACAAGTCGAGTTTTTTGATTACACCCTCACAATTATCTAAACTCTGTATCTTTAAAAACTTTTCTTTAACCTATTCATTTCCAGCAGTGAATGACTAATGCCAAATGCCTTTGGTTTGGATGTTGAAGGCTAAAATGACATCTTTAAATCTTCTCCTGAGTATTGTGGTCCATGTGGGATAGGGACATTGTTCCTAGGCACAGTAAAATAGTTGGAATGTGAATGGCAACCTCCGCTTTGCACATTAACTTCCAGGTTTGTCAGAGCCAGTAATGCAACTTGAAGTATTTTAGGAGCTTCTGTAAGGGGAACTATGCAAGAGGTTTTTGTGGGATTCTCATCTTTCAGACCTGTGCAGTTCACTTTCCTTTCCAAAGCATGTAAAGGGTTTTTCTGTGTGAAATGTGCTTCCTTCCTCATACAGTGGTAGCAGTTGCTGTAATTTAGGCAATTTTTCCAACACCTCATGTAGGCCTGGCAGGCCACGTGATCAGCAGGTCTCTGGAATATGCATGAGATTATGGCCCGCACCTGCATTTTGTATTGGTAGGCTGAAACTGCCCTCCCAAGGCAAAGCAAGTAGTTCTGGCTCAAACTTCTTTCTGTGTAGTGCCTGGATCTCGGTGAGTAGCTCCTGCCAGGCACTCAGCAAACCAAGGTCTTTGCGCCCGTAACCAAGGTAGCCTAGAGCGAACTGCAGGGACTTTGCTCCCTCTTGGTTGTGTTATGGTACTTCCACAAAATGCGTTGCATATCCGTACAAACTCTTTGGTCCAAATTAATTTTAGTTTGATTCTCAGGATGGGCAGTAAATACTGCTTCTATCTTCTTAGCCTATTACCTAGCTGGTGATAAGGACCAGGACCTGTCATGTGAATGGTCAATTTGTGTTATTCTGGTAAAAGCTATGTAACTAAGCTTTTAGAAGCGTTTGCTTTTTTTCTTTTTTTTTAATTAGTATTTTGTGTAAACAGACAATGGGTTATGCTACATCATTACCTGTATCATGGTAATGCTGACACACCCTGATTTTAAAGGGCTTCCCTTTGTGCTAGACGTTACAGTGATGCATGAGAAGAAAAATCCTTTGTTCACAGCTGAAATCAGCTAGTTTCAGGTTCTTGTTTGCCTTGACATGCATAGGTGTGATCTTTGTGCTCCACCAGTGATTTCTGTAGTGAGACTAAGTTGGGAAGCTGACAATTGGGTTCCATTCCTGGTTTTGCCTTTAACATGCTGTATGTGGTTGTCTGAGGTCTGCTTGATGTACCCATACACTAAAAATTGGGTTGCTGCTGGTTTAAAAGCCTATGACTGCACTGCAGAGAAACTGAGACTATAAGGGCTCTTTCTTCACACAGCCTTCCTGGTTTCAGAGGCCTCTGCTGGATCTGTGAACTATTACATGAGTGGGTAATTTTCCAGGTACCTAGAATATGACCAAGACAGGGCATACCCTGTCTTAAAAAATCAGTTTGACTTCGATATCTCAGAAGATGTGAGGTGGCACTGACATTTTCATAGTGGTTGGGTGTTTCTAAAGCATCTCTCCCATGCAGCATGTGATTTCTGTCATCTAACACGCTCTTAGGGGAGAACACCTCTGCGCAACCACCAGCTTCCAAAAAGCTGGAAGAAACTGAAGTGTTGAGGCTGTAGGGGTGAATTTGATTGAAACTGCCCCAAAAGTATAAAAAATACTGGAGGAAGTGATAAGAAGGAGGAATTGTGTGGAGATGGGCAGTTGCAAAAACCCATAGTAATGGCATAAATCTCATTTCTGTATGAAACGTGGAGGAAAAAGCACAAGTAGTAAACATTGATTTGTAAGTCATGCTAGCATTTAGTTAGTCCTCTGTCTTTGTCCATGTAAGGCAGAAGTTGCCTAAAAGAGTACATATGCTGTCCTGGTTGGGGGCTAATAGCTGAGTTATGATGTGTGCTGGTTGATGTCACCATTGAAGTTGACATTTGATATCTTTAACTAGTTAACTTCAGTGTTCTGTCTGTTCCAGGATAATGGCTACGTGCATATTCATACCCCCATAATTACATCAAATGACTGTGAAGGTGCTGGGGAACTCTTTCAAATTGAGGTAAGTTGGGTTGCGTAAAGTTTGTTTTGATTTTTGCTTGCAGAGTAATTCTGGAGTCATTGAAGCTAGAGGAAATGTTTGTCTTTATAAAACCTTTCCTTTATGTACTTCTGTGATTATTTTTTTAATATAGCAGTCCTTTGCTTCAGCTAATAATTTAGGCAGAGTTAAACAGATGCATTACTTTTTTTTTAATTGCTCTTTTGTGCATTAATCAGCACCTTTTGTACTGATGAGGGTTTTCTATCCCCAGTGCTGTGGAAAAGTTTACAAAGAACAACAGACAGAGGTGGAACATCTTGGTAAACAGAAAGATGTGATCATGAAAGCCCAAGAGAAGGGATGGGACATTCAGGACAGCCTACTATACCCAAATATTTCTTGGCTTTGAAATTAAGAATTTAATTCACTGTGAGATAACTCCTTAAAAGAAAGTCAGCAATACCTAAAACTGCTTTTCACTTGTGCATATATTCCTCCCTACAAGCTACTCCTGTTTTATGTCAAAATTCTCCTCCAACGTTTCTAAGTCTCCCCATCCAGCCAGCAAATTACTGCCACAACCTATCATTATATAAGTACTTCACGTCTTGGGTCAAAACTTCCTATGAAACTTAAATGCAGGTATGTCCACTAAGATCTTCCCCACAGATTTCTCATCATTCCTATCCCCCACATCCATGAATCATAAGAAATTCCATCTGCCTTTTTTATACTCCTATATTTGAAATTCACTCTTCTGTCTCAAACAATTAGATCCATTGCCACTTACGCTTATTGGCTCCAGCCTTGCTGGTGAATCATTTGTAAGCAAAAGAAAAATTGTTGAGGTAGCAGTTGCTTGCTGTGGGATCATGTCTTCCACTCTCTGCACAGCCTCGTGACAAAAAGTCTCCATGTACTGGTTCTTCAGGATCTTGGGATCTAACCTGTGCTACTAGTGATTCCCTTCCAGACCAGTACATGTGGCTCAGCTTTTTGCTTGCTGGGACAATAGAGTTGATTAGCTAAACTAAATTGTTCCTGTTTAATTGAGATCCCTTAATGCTACCAAAGGTTCATTCCAGGCTGTTGCATGCAAATTAAGATGTGAAAACAAGTGACACTTAATGATGAGAACATTACACAGTTTGCAGCTGTACAGCTTATTACGTCTTTGGTACAAATTGTATCCACTTGAAAGCTGTAAAGAATGCAGGACTGCAGCGTAGGTAGTAACAGAAGCACTGATGCAAAAATGTTGATTGACGTGCCAAACCGTGAGTCTGAAACTTGGATAAACTGGATCTTAACTAAATGCATAGTTCAAGGCAAATCTCTTGCTCTCTCTCCAGTGTGATTGCTTAGGTGTAAATAATACCTGTCTGGGAGAAATTTAGTGACAGCTGTGCTTGAAAGGTGTGGCGTAAGTGCCAAGTCAGATCACATTAAATGGCCTGTGCCACCAAGAAGAGGCTTCAGAAACCCATTTGCTGCTGGGAAGTTCCCCCAGATTTCCTGTTTCCTTCTTTGAGGACCACTTCATTGCCTGGCCTCGTTTAGTACTTGGTTTTGTTTCTAAGTGAAGCTCTGTGCAGAATTGATCTTGGCTAGCAGAGATCCAAGACCACTTGCTTTCCCTGTGTGACCACTCCACTGGATCAGTGACATTGTTTCTTGACAGTGGAAATCTGGGGAAGATTAAGCCTTCCTTGGGCCATGCATGTGAGGCTGTCAGACATAAAAGTAAGGGTGACATAAGGGTGTCAGACATAAAAATAAGGGTGTGGTATTTGCAGCAAAGCTCAGAATCTGTATATGCTTTTGATCAAACCAACCATCAACATGTTCCTCGTCTGCTGTATTCAGTCACTTTTAAACTAGCCCTTATCTCACTGCTTGCACAGGCCAAGGGAGAAAATAAATTCCTGTTGCTTTTTATGTTTGAGCAGTAGCCAAGAATTATGGAGGTGGGAATCAGTGAAAGCAACCTGCAAATTAGATTCTTCAGTTTAGAATAGAATAGACTGTTTCAGTTGGAAGGGACCTACAAAGATCATCTAGTCCAACTGCCTGACCAGTTCAGGGCTTAGCAAAAGTTAAAGCGTGTTATTAATGGCATTGTCCAAATGCATCTTAAACACCGACAGGCTTGGGGCATCGACCACCTCTCTAGGAAGCCTGTTCCAGTGTTTGACCACCCTCTTGGTAAAGATATGCTTCCAAATGTCCAGTCTAAACCTCCCCTGACACAGCTTTAAACCACTACTAACCATCATTAATTTTTAAAATGTTTAAATCCTGTACCTGATAGTCTCGCCTGTTTAGCTGTACTGCTGTAAGTGAAATAAGTTGAAAACTTCGGTTGAGTAGCCTTTAGGGCCCAGGTAGAGGCTGCTTTTGCATCCACTATGAACCATTGCCTTTTAATAGCTGTCTTCTCCTGACTGGCATAATTTTAATCCTCTGACTAATGTCTAGTGGCTGCTCAGGCCCACGCATTCTTTGGAAATGGTGGAAAGTGAAGATAGTAGGAATCTGGTTTTTACATGAGACTTGAAGAGATGGGGAAGAAAGTATCTCAAGTTAAAAGGCAAATGCTTTTTGAAGACACATGATCTTTGATTCCTAGATCTCTTAATCCTGTAGGGTTTTTGTTTGTTTATATGTTCAGCTTCCTCATTATCTTTTTTTTTTTGGTTTGGGCATACTGATTAGTGTGTGTGTGTAGCTTTGGTTGGGATGTTCTCATATTAGGACTTGGGATGGAGAGGAATCCCTTTCCTCTCTGCTAAGCAAATCAGTTCAGGTAAATATTTTTAAGATGAAGTACTGTCAAAATGACAAGAGGGCGGTAAGCAGAGGAGATTTTGAAAAGTAAGTCACCAGATAAGAACTCCAGAGAAATCTTTTGTGTTTGAGACTTTCTATACCTGAAAAGTATAGGTTTGAGGAGAAGTTTGAGGAGAAACTGCCTGAAGTGTGAGGCCAGCCAGGCAGACCCTAAGCCACATGGAGAACATCAGCAACACCAGCTTGTGGATTTCTGCACCTTTGACAGTGTCTGCCTTTGGTGGAATGCTGGAGGGGGGAAGCTTCTTGCTTGTGCTGTCTTCTTTAAAATAAGCACTGAAAACACCAAAAGAGCCTTGAATATTGCAAGCTGGGTTTTAGTAGAATGCAAAATAGGATGAGGTAATTCTTGAAATAGGGGGAACGCAGATCAGCAGGGTGAGACAGCACTTTTTATTTTATTTTAATTTAATCTGAAAATAATTCGTCTGTACCAGCAGTCTTAACTCATCAGGGCAGATCCTTTCCTTGCTTTTTTCTTTTTTTCTTCTGAAGTCTAAAATTCTTAGAAGCTTTGTATGTTGCAAGAAACTTCATGAAGTCCCCTCCTGGGGCTGCTTCCTAGGAAATCTGCCTTTCTTTTGTCTTTGTGACCAGGCTGCATGTCTGTTCCCTGCTATTTTCAGTAGCCACCCACTCTGTCTGCAGTGTTGAAGGCTCCTCATTTTCTGGGTCTCTTGCTCTGTCTTTTTCACTTTTCTCCCTCTAAGTTTCCTTGTTTGACTGTCCTCAGCTGCTGCAGGGAATGTGCAGGCTCCTCTATGCTCTGGAAGAGGCTTTCTGGCCCAAACACTCCAGCTGGTATGAAGAGGCCATGGTCAGTCACTTTCCCTGCTGTCCAGCTGCAGCCATTTAAAAGAACTCAGCATGCAGTGAGTTAGAAAGTGCAACAGCTGTATTGCCATTCACAGCTCTTTAAAGTAGATCTCACATGTGTTTTGTATTGCCTGTGGCCTTATTCCTTCTTGGGGATGGTGCTCTATGTGTAGGTAGTGCTGCACTCTACCTGTTGGCTCCAGCAGAGGTAATATGTGTTCTGTATCAGGCTTGTCTCTTCCCATACACATAGCTCATTGCATCTGGGTGTTTGACTGAACTGAGGGTCTGGATCAGGCTGTTCAATTATTTGAAAGGATACTTACAACTGTAAACCTGAAGAACCATCCAGATGTTGTTCTTATCTAAAATATATCCAGCGATCAGAGATGGTATCGTGTTTGGTTTTTTGCCACCTGCTCACAGGATTGAATGTAAAAGTTTGTAGATCCCTGAAGGGTGCAAGTGCGTGGCTGTGCCTACCGCGGAGCCAGAAATGCATGCCTGCTGCTGAAGATGCAGAAACTTACTCCTACCGTTCCTTTGGTACTGCCGAAAAATAACATTGTCAGCACCAAGGAAGGCTGGGGTCTGCTGGGGAGAATCACAGTTAAATGCAACAGTATTAGTGTCTGTCAGGTGTTTCCGCTTCAGAGATGCATCATGGTCTGGGAGGCAGCCAGTCCCTGGGAGATGGGGACTTCAGAGAGGTGCTCAGCAAGGATCGGGGTAAGCTGGAACTGAGCTGAGGGAGGGCTTGCTCTTGCCTTTTCTGGCTCTCCCAGTTTCTGCTCGTTTCTACCTGGTTCATCTCTTCCTGTAATTCCAGTCCATATTTATGAGATGTTTGTCTCAGCAGAACCAGCTGCTATTGCCCAATGCAAGTCCAGATGATCAGAATTAGGACTAGAATTGCAAGGAGAACTCCTTGGAAGTTATGAATTTTGCAGTGGTTGCCTAAAAAGGAAAACCCAGTCATGTTTATAATGGGACATCACAGAGGGCAGGTCCGGATTAAAGATGTGGTGCTGTGAAGCTTCAGCAGCATGGTGTTGTAGGCCTGGACTAGAGCTGCAGCAGTGATTTCTATGAGCTTTTCAAGCTCTCTCTGATTCTTTCATGCATTTGGCTTGCATAGAATGAAAGACAGAATCAAACGGTTTATACTCTCCTGAAGCTAATTGCCTCAAGTAAAAGTTAATACGAGACTGACATCAAAGGGAATAATTTTAAATTAAATCATTAGACATTTGAGGAGATGGAGAACAAAACAGGTACTAAATCCAGTTGTTCTCGTCTTTAGAATGAGAATTAAAAGCCTTTGATGTTGATGTCAAATCCTAGTATGTTTATAGCACATTTACTCCGAGACACCAAGATGTTTCATACAGATTCCCCCTCCCTCTTTCCCCATTGTAATTTGGGTCATTTTCAACTAGGGAATGGAAAGAACTTGAAAGTAAACACATTAGTCCCCCCAGTCTTCTATCAAGTAGGTATTTTGGGGTTGGGAAGTGGGAGAAGAGTTCATCTAATTGAAATAAAAGCACCACAATGTTGTTGCTTTGTTTTGCTAGTCATGAATGTAAAAAACAATCTCGCTGTCAGCAGTGAAGGGATAGCATCACCTACTATTCATTATTTGTCTTCTAGTAGTGACTGTTGTTTATTATAAACAAGGAAGCTTGATCTAAAAGGCTGAGCATAAACCTGGGGCACAGGCACTTGAAAACATTGGCCTCATCCTGTGCTGGAATGTGCAAAGTGGAGGAACCACCTGTAATGGGTTAGTCGATAATTGTACATGTGAAATGTGAAGTTGATGATTACAGGATCCCCCCTTGCTGAAGGGGTCCCTTTTGAAGGAAGAAGGAAGCATTTAATTTTCCCTGCATGGCCAGTGGATTGACTTTTGCAGCACACAGCACCCGTTCATCAAGCTTTGTGTCTCAAAATGAGGGAGATGATGACATCTGTGGAGAGGTGAGGCAAATGGATGGTGATGGGAGAGTAAAATTTTGTCTATATATTGCTGTGTTCACTCTTCACCTTCTGTCAGAAGCCATCTGGGAGCTGCTCGCAATGCAGACAAGCATCTCAGGATCTCGCAGTGGCTTCTCAGACTGGCTGCAGGTTTTTGTAAGTCCAGTTGAGCTGTAGACTTTCTCACACTCTTCCTGTAGTCACTTACTGTTGTGTCTATTTTCTCTTTGCCTCCCTGAGATTACATCTGATTTGGAGAGTGAAAAAGGACACACAAGTCATTATAAATAAACGAAGCCCTCCTGGAGACAGCTGTATCCTGTTTGTGGATTTGGGGGGAAGTGTTGAGATTTCATGGCTGATTTCTTCTGTTCTTTTCCTGCTTCCAGTCTGTCTCCTTCTCGTTGTTTAGATGTTGCATCCTACAGGATTAGGTGGGATTTTTCACTGGTGGAACAAGGAATGTAGCTGAACTAAGCTTGCCATAGGGGAAACTGGAGCGGTATGTGGCTGTTCTCTTTAGCATTCTGGCCATGGCTCTGAGGCTGTGGTATGTGGATGTTTGTATGTTTATTAATATCCTTATTGTTTTTGAGCAAATACTCTGGGTTTATTTGAAGAAAACAATAGGGGCCTGCTTCTGCATCCTTGGGTGTTGTGTTTTGGTTTTTTTTAGAACTGCAAAACCTATGAAACAAAGGAAGCAGTCCTGGGGTTACAGCCACAAATTGTCATATTTTCATTGATCTCTGTGGAACAAGGCAAGCCTGCTCTTTTCTTTGGTGTGATGCTGTGAAGAGATAAAACTACCTTGTGATCTGAGGTCTTTGGCAGTCTCTGTTTTATCTTTGTGATGAGTAGCAGAGCTTTTTGAGAACAAAAGCAACACCTTCCGACTCAATTGAGAAAAATGGCAGGTTGTAGAATATCAAAGGCTGGCAAACAAGCCTCAGCCTAGCAACCTCCAGGTGACAAAGCAAGTTGGGGAGTAGGGTGGCTGGAGGCAGTGGCATACTTGGCTGAGCTATCAACACTTAGCATAACTGCTAGGAACTACACTTTGAAAAATGAGTATTTCAAACTTATCTCAGAAGAAAGTATTCATTTGGAAGTTTGTATGGAAGTGAATGTAGATAAGCCTCAGATTACATTCGAAGTTTCTTTGTCTTTCTCCCCAACCTTTGATTCCTCCAGAGCTTAGGGATGACATTGAAATCTAGAAAATGCTGAAACAAAAATCTCATTTATCTTCATGGTTGGGTTTTTTCTGTTAAAGTCACAGAATTGTGATCTCTAGAGATTGTCTAATCCATCTCAGCATGCTCAAACAAGGTCAACTAGAGCAAGTTGCCCAGGACTCCGTCCTGCTGAGTTTTGAGTTTCTCTGCAGATGGAGGCTTTACAGCCTCTGTAGATAACCTGTTCTAGTGTTTGACCACCCTCACAGGTTTAAAAAAAAAAAAAAAAAAAGGTTTATTCTTGTTTTCAGATGAAATTTCACGTGTCTTTTTTTAAAATCTGTGCCCATTGCCTCTTGTCCTGTCAGTGAGTACCACTGAGATGAGTCTGGTTGTTTCTTCTTCATTCCATTCCATCAGGTCTTTATACACATGGATAGGATCTGCCTTGAGCCTTCTCATCTCCAGGCTGAACGGTCCCAACTTGCTCAGCCTCTCCTCATTTGAAAGATGCTCCAGTCCATTAAGCATCTTAGTGGCCCTTTGCTGGACTCACTCCAGTATGTCCATGTCTCTCTTGCACTGTGGAAGCAAGCAGTTCACCCAGCGATCTCGGTGAGTCAGCAGTGCCTAACGCAGCCCAGGAGGCTGCTGATTTTCTTTGCCGTGAGGACTTGTTGCTGGTTTATGGTCAGCTTGGTTTGCCACCAGGGAAATAGTGAAGCATAGTCCTTATCCTCAAATGACTTTTAAAGTGCTCGACACAGAGGTCTTCTAACTTTTCTTTTCTGCCTGTAAATTAAAAAAAAAAAAAATCACTTTAATGGGACTTTTTTTAGTCTGTTTTTCATAACGAAAAACTGAACTTGCTAAATTTTCCATTACTTGTAGTTTTTTATGGTTTAAAATCTCTGGTGACCTGAAAAAATATGCAAAAGCTGAAATGAAGTGTAGTTTGTTTTTCAGTGCCTATATCATGTGTAAGCTGTGATGTTTCAACTCCGTGTTATTTCAGTTCTGGTTTTTCTGAAGACTGAATAACAAGGCTTAAGAGCATATTGCATTACTTTTTTTTTCTGATTACTGTTTGTCTTTTTGCAATGTTAACAAATTCATTTGTCCATGAAAAGGAAGTAATGTCAGTTTTAAAAGTCTTTGCTAAAAATCAGTGCACCTGACAGGGAAAATACTCCATTTTCTCATCAGACTTGAAATTGAATTTTGAAGGCAATGCTGTGTAAAGCTTCGAATTTCCAAATTACAGAGATTTTTCCCTTCTCCCTCACTGTTCATCTTGGTAGGAAAGACTGAAAAATCAATACTTATGCTTGGAGACTGGGTTGATAGGCTGGCATCTTTCTTTCACATGTTGCTGGGCAAAATGACCTTCAGCAGATGTTCCAGAGGGGTTTTCATTTTGTATGTCTGCGTTTCCTAGAATCATGAGATGTGATTTCTCCACCTTCTCCCAAACTCCTAGGTAGACAGAGCCCTTACCTGTATACATGTTACTTTACCAAAAAAAAAATCAGAGGCTACTTGAGAAAAATCTGCGTTTCTAACAGTCTTGTTCTCAGATTTGCTTGTAAAATGGTGAATGTGTCCTTCCTGACATTTTATTTTACGTTTTGTTACCTCTTTCCTTTCTGCAATGTCATTCCTAATTCAGCTCATGGATGTTTAAACACATAAAGTTACACAAATCTTTTCTCTGAGTAAAATTTAGAGTTCCTGACATACCCACATACAAGGGTAGGAGGTGAGAAGCGAAGAGCCACATATTTTTAGCTGTGTACGAACTCTGTGCTGACCGCAGAATTTTGGGCAAGCAGTGAAACTCCATGAAGCTGTGTCATCTTAACAAGTTACTTCCCACTCAGCTGAACTGATATAACTAATTGCTGGGGATCCAATTTACAATCCCTGTTACTTTGAGAAACATCTGAAAGAACTGCATATCCTTCCCCTGTGCCGACATGACACTGGGGGGATGTGCCACAGTTCACAGACTTGTTCTGCAAGTGGTTGTGATGCCTACAACCCATATCCCCTTAAGTCACTGGAAGTGGAGGCGGGCACTGTGTTGTTTCCCACTTAAAGTATTACTTTTCTCTACACAAACACATTATTTGCATTGGACCCCTGGACAGAGAAGTCCCCAAGAATGCTTTATCTTGTGGGGTTTTTTCATAATGCGTTTTGTTTGAATAGGTTTTAGAGCCCATTAGCAGTCTGAGCAAAGATGGGGAGCATTGTCTTATGACTTACGACACTGTTGGATTCCATCTCAGCAGTGTTTGGGTTGAATCCCATGGAATTTCGTACAAGAAACAGGGGAAAATAAGCCGGGAGCCGTACTTTTTATTCAAACACCAACAGTCTGACTTCTTGCTCATTTTTTGACTTACAGATGTCAAATGAGGCAAGGGAATCTGCGGAAAAGACCCATTTCTTCAATGTACCTGCCTTCCTGACAGTTTCTGGCCAGCTCCATTTGGAAGTGATGGCAGGGTGAGCAAAATTAGGAATTTTTGGCTTGATCAGTGGGACCTTCTCAGTTGGTAATTTTGCCCCATTGGTATCCATTAGATATCTGCCACCATATGTATGCCAGAAATGAGCAGCAGTGGCTGGATGCTGGTGTCAGAGGCCAGCTGAGGCAGGGGAACACTAGACTGCTTTTTAATTCTGGCCTATGAACTAGTTTTAAATGCTAGGAATCTCTTGCTTGCCATGGATTGGGAATATTGGATGGAGTCATAATCTTTAAGGGCATGACTGTAGGATTGTTGCTAGTGACTGTAATACCTTAAGTGTCTTTTTGTTGTTGTTCACATCTGGCATGTCTCAGCAAGAAAATCTTTTTCATTTTACCTATCACATTCCTTTCTTCTTTTCTCCCTTTTTCCCCAAGCTTCCTTTTTCTGTCACCTTCAGTCTTCCTGTTGTGTTTCTTCCTTCTGCCAATTCTCACTTCTCCTGTTTCATGGCTTTCACACTTGATGCTTAGTTCATTACAGCCACTAAAGTGATCACAGTCAAATAGTTAATACTGGCTTTGATTTTAAAAAAATTATCTTTAAGCTTTTAATGTTAGTATTTCCCTGAGATAGTTAGGAGTGAAAGTGTCAGTCTGTCAGAGAGACGGTTCCTTTGATTAGGAGGTTTGGTCCTCTCCTACACTGAATTTTCCCAATAAATCAACTATACTGGTACGTTAAACAGATGGAGTCAAATCAGCACAATCCCTTATTTGAAGGCACAGTTTTCTGGGTGCTTGCAATGTCTGTTCTCCTCAGACATGGTACTTCAGCCAAGTCACTGCTTGCCAGCTGAACAGCTGATAAAGCCTGTCAGAGACCAGGTCTCAGGCAGGTAGCACTGCAATTGTTTGCCACTTGCCAAGGGGGTTTGTTATGCACTTAGAATGACATTAAAATAACTTCTAAACTGACTTGTTACTGTCCAGTGCAAGTCGCCTGAAGATGAGAGGGATAAACCCCTAACTTTAGAAAATTTGAACTAGGAAGATCTGCCTTTTTCGTATGGAGGTTCTAAGGAGTATTTCTAGCAGTCTTAGTGTTTGCTGTCCATGCCTCATATCCAGTGTTGCAAACCAAGTAATAAATGTTTAGTTGTTTTTTATTTAATCACTGTTGCACAGATTAATTGACTGCTGGTAAATAGGTGCAGTGAAATTGTTGAACAAACAGCAAGTTTTGCGTATAAATCAAAAGGTATAAATTTCTTCAGAAAGTGGTTTTCTGCCTGGCTTGTTATCTCTGAGAGGCAGTGTCTCAAGCCACTAGACGGCCATGGTCTGCTGAAATACTCAGGCTAAAGGTTCTCGATGGACAGGATGTTTCTCACGTGGTGCCTTGGCTGCTGTGACAGAAGCACAGGTCACCTGGCAGCCAAAGGCTGATGCGTCATCTCAGACATTAGCTGGGGAAAGTTTAATGAGGAAGAGGTTTGTTTAACTGTAGGGGTGGTGGAGTTTTTGCATCCCTGAAAAAAGATGGGATGACATGTATTTGTACATGTTGGACTTAAGTGACTGTCATGCATTGTGACCTTTATTGAAAGACGTAATTCTACAAATCAAATAGTCCAAAGAAAAACTATGGATTGTAATGATCAACTAGAAATAGAACCTCACTCTCCTACATCAGTATGTTACCTTTAAGGAGTACACAGCCTGCTCTGGGATGGAGCAGAAGGCTAAACTGGGCAGATGCAAGATCTGTCTGCTAAATATTTTTTCCATTGATATCACTCAGGTGCACCTTGCTCTCAAAGGATGGGTAAAAAAATCAATACTCTTCAGCATGCAGTACATTACATTACAGCTTCATGTTCCTATTTTACAGTAGCGTGTTGTTCTTACAGGCATTTTAAATGGATCCGGTGCCATCTACGTTTAGATAAACTGTGTTTGTTCATAATGAGGCATAGCTGTTCTGTGAACCTGCTCCTTTTATTAGTATTTTATTTAAGCACACTGAGTTTTTGAGGCCTACAGCTCAAGTGGTATTGAATCCCTTCAGTCTTCAAAAATAGATCAAGCTCTTCTAGATGTAGAAGCACTATAGTGATGCATCACAGTATTAACCCTCTATATACTGTGAAACCTTGTAGCTACTCCGAAGGTTTTGTGGTTATCAAGTTGGTCTTATTCTCTCAATAGGACTCCTATATGATCAAAGAACGTAAGTGCATAATAGTAACCAGAGCTGCTGGGCAAATGAATGTGTTTTGATGATGCTTTCAGAATAGTAAAAAGTGGGAGTCCTTCTCCCCCATAAACAGAAATGTTCTGGTCTTCCCAATAAACAAAGCAGCCAAAACAGTGAAGATTTATGTGTTTTGGATTTGATCCTGTGAAATTTACCCTTCGTTTTAGCCAGACTCAATTTTTCATGCCCAGAAAAGGAACTGTTCTTGAAAAATTCCCTTTAGCTTAAATAAAATGTTGACTTGCTGCAGTCTTAAGGCTTTCAGGAACAACTGGTCCCTGAAAATTTGTGGGAGGAGACCAAGGTAGAAATGCTTTGGAGACCCTTCTGCATCTACTCTTGGCCCATATCCTGTTCTGACTTGCTGTAGGACGTGGGAGTGCAGAGGCAGATCCTGCACAAGTCTGTTAGAAATGAGGGGTGGAGCAGGATAGGTGTGAGAGGCAGGGAAGAGTTTGTCCATGGGGCTTAGGTAGCAGGGAACAGAAAGTCAGCTAGGCAGTCATGTCTGTTTGGAGTTAGCTTTTAGCTTTACAGAGGTCATGAGCAACCTCCAAGCTGTGGTTGGAAAAGTCTGGGCAGGAGAGGTATGGAGAAGACTTACCAGATGTGTCTGGAACTAAATCTTCTGCTGTTCTTGCTGAGGGTTCATCTTGCAGCCCATGGAGTATTGTCTGAATACCTGTGCCTGCATGTTGTCCAGGGTTTCAGGCTCCATTTTATGTCAGGGCTGCTTGGTGCTATTCCTGATTACAGGAGAGAACAACAAGCCTTATATAATTTGTGAGTTTTTAACCTTTTTCTTTGAGGAAAAGTGGGAAGAGAGGTGTTCCTGCATTTATTGACTGTCTTCTGTGCTGTGTATGCTTGTTATTGAAGGCAAGGTCAGAGAAGTTCATCTTGTCTCTCAGTATGACACGAAAGGCCTAGTTGGCACAACTTCTCATTTCATTGTACTTTGTCTTTGCAGTGATGGCATCTAGGTTGACTGCTCAGGGTGTCTGAATCATTGTCAGCTGCTATAAATCTGTAGGCTCTTAAAGGTCTCCAGAAAAGTCTTTATTCAGTAATACAGCTCTCCCCTTCAGTCTTCTCAGTCTCACATGAGTCAGTAACCAATGTATGTGGTAGAAGTTTACAGGACTGTGTGTGTCCCGATAACTGGTTTTAAATGTCACTGGTTTGCTGTGAAGTACTTGTGGTATTTCCTTGCCCTGTGATCCTCCCGTGACGATAAAGGCCCCTTTGGGGACCTGAACTAGGCTGGAGGGCCTGTGACAGCTGAAGATGATTCAGAGGCATACTGGAGACAGCCAAAATCAATTGTTGCCAAGAAGTACAACTCACTGGCTGTATTTACTCCATTTTTTTTTTTCTCCTTTCACCTGTCTGCATTTCCCACAAGCTCTACCTGCTCGTCTCCTTTCAGCCACTCTTGCAAATAGTTTACATCATTGTTTTGCATTGATTTTCCTATTGCCACGTTTCAGCCCTGGCACTGTCTGTTCTGCCTTTTGCATCATGAGCTTAACTAAAACTGCTTTTCCTAAAAGCTCTGGGGGCTATTCCCTCCCTAAATCACAGAATAAGTTCTCTCCTCATTCCTTGCTCTCCCTAGCTCTGTTTCTTTGGTTTTACCAGACCGTCAAGTAGGTTTTGCCTCTTTTGTTTTTCTCATGTTCTCTTGAAGTTTCCTGCAAATGGGGAAAAGGCTCAGAGGCAACCTAATAGCAGCCTGCTGTGACCTGCAAGGAGGTTATCAAGAAGACAAGCCCACTCTCTGCAGTAGTGAACAACAGGAGGGCAAGAGACAATGGGGATAAGTTGAAACAAGAGAAGTTCTGAGTGGATATGGGGGGGGGAAATCACTAAGAGATCAGTCAAGCATTGGAAAAGATTGCCGGGAGAGACTGTGCACCCTTCATCCTTAGAGGTTTTCAAGACCAAGCTAGATAAAGCCTTGAGCAACCTGGTCTAGCCTTCTCACTGACCCTGCTTTGAGCAGAAGACTGGACCAGTGACCTCCTGAGGTCCCTTGGAGCTTGAATTATTCTGTCCTTCTAAGTTTATTCTTGGCTTTGTTCTCATTTTTCTCTCCACCAATCTCATCCATAAGACCATCTTGGTGAATTTTCTCTCTGGTGCACTTTCTATTCAACATCTCTCCCCAGGACCTGTATTTTCTGCCTAACTTAAAATCTCAGCCTTTCATACTGACGTCTGCCCGTTAATGTCTAGCTATCAAACTTGGTTTAGTTGAAACATAATTAATCTCACTCCCCTCTCCTCAAGCACATCCTCTTGATTTCTAAACCGTCATGGATTTTGCTACTGTTCTGCCTATTGCAGATATTCTCTGCAACTGTTTTTTCTGGTTTCAGAGAGGCTCTAAAAAAAAAAAAATCTCAGTCCGGCAGACCATTTTAGCTGTGCCTGCCTGAGTTTGTAGAGAGCTGAACACAGTGGATTTCCTGCTTGTTTCAGAAGATACTGAAATCACACTGATTTCACTTTTAAAATTCCAGTACTTCACCACTTTTCAAAGTGTGGAAGAGATGGAGGGAGGTAGGTGTCATTTCAGGTTGGTGTTCAAGAAAACACTGCAGAGCTGAAGAGATGTATTTGAGGCTGCCTTCCATAAAAGAGCCTTTGTTTTCATCAATCTGGCAAATGCAGCCTTAAAATTTGATTCCAAAATGACTTGCTAATGATGGAACAGATTGCATTGTCTTCAAGCAAATATTTGCTCTACATTGTACAATTTGAAATACTTTT